ATGTACGTACTTACTCAAACACAAAATTTTGTGCATATTACTCATTTAATGTACTTTCATGGACAAGTATTTTTACAATTAATACCAATTATTGCTCGGATCCCACAGGCGCGGAGCTATTTGTGTTAACTTTTTTTTTGTCCATGGACTCGATTTTTATCAATTAATCCCTTCGATTTACAGTTAAAAATAAATTCGGAAGCACGATTTCCTTTCGATTTCTATTATGTAAAGTCATATATTGGTCTCCCCTTCGGTGATTCGCAGCATGTCATATTAATGAATGAGAACGTGATCATATGACCTTAACATTGCGAAAGTCCGTAAATCTATTTATAGAAGTAGTTCAATTAATCGTTATGGTAATTTGAACGAAATTTAGAGTTTTGCAGAATGAAATGCAAACATATCTAACCATAAATTGCACCTTTTATAACTTATCGAAAAAAAAATCGACCCTAGTGTTAGTAGGTGATTCCATTTTGTTTGAAGGCAATTGGTTTTATGGTGGTTTGAGTGGAATGTTGATTTGTCGAATACTGCGACATGTATTTAACAACAGAAACGTCCTTCGAGGTGTTATGGGTTTATTGATAGGAATGTAAACACATTTGTTGGTCAGACAAGGATTTTGAAGCAATTCAACAAAATAGTAGATTCATCTACCTATAAATCAATTAGCAATAGCTCTTTATTTATAACCTATGTCAGTAGCTTTTATATCTTTGACTCGCATGAACATGATGTTAGTGAATTTCCTCATACCCTACGATACCCGTCTCAAATACCGGTAACAGTCTTCCATTGATAAATAATGTTTCAATATATCAACATGCCATGACAATTTATTCATGATTTTAAATGTACCATTATTTTTGTTAACGCGTATTACAAAAAATCCTGAATTTGGTCTTTTAGAAATTCATCCCAAATTTTTCATTCCTAGGTGTGTTTTTCTTTCAGTTTTTATATGAGAGTTAAAATATAGCTACTTTATCTTAATTCCAAGGCATTAAAAGAAACCATTTTTCTTAATTTGATAGAAAAAATGCCTGTTATATTACAACTATTTATATATGCTGTTTGTATATTTCTTACATTAATGATAAAACAGACTTTGTTCAATTTGACTACTGTTTTGTTTGTTTCAATGAAAAATCATATAATATTTTTATTTTTAGCAAGCCGACCAAAGATCATGATGAACAATGTCTTTCGTTATAATATGCATGTACAATTCTGGTAAAAAAACAAGAATAAAGAACAACAAGGTAAAGGCAACGTTCAAAGGACGCAGCCCCCGACACACCCAAGAAGGGCACCAGAAGAAACCCAACACAAACACCTGGATATAAGGGCGATGACTCCAGAGGGAATGTAATGTGTGAAATAATATAAACTAAAACGGGCCCATATCGGAATTAATGGTATAAGGGCTGGAAAGATGAAAAGAGGAGGGGGTTAAAAATTAGAGGGGGGGGGGGGGGTGAGAAAATACCTACCGTAAACGACAGTCCAACAAGACAGACATCACAAAACATGTAAACATTTAAAAACAAGTAACAATACAGACATGAAAAACACGTGAAGGAAAACAGAGGGGTACCGCCTTGGAATGGTCAGTGGTGGTTAAACAACTTGGGAGTTAAAACTGGTTTTAGGCGCGCCAATCCTCGCTCTTAGCACCAATATGTTCCTGAGTGACACGAAAGTGTAAATAAAATTAATCCCCTTCAAGTGAAATTCTAAAAATGTTCATGGTTACATTAGACGAAATAAATAAAACACATAAAAGATTGTGTAAATATGCAAAAAAGGTACAGCCTTATAACCATTACCAGTACTCGAAGCCTTAAAGGAAGGCATATCAACTAGACAATCACCTACCAGGGCCCGACGAAGCAATACGGAGAAGATGGTAAAGTCCAATTAACCATTAAAAATTCTAAAAGAATATCTGGTGTCTACTATTTCATCGTCACTTGCTGCATTTCTTGCTTGGACGCCATTCGATGCTTTGCATCAACGCCTTTCTTGATTAACATGATATACCATGATATACATGTAACGGACATTTACATGAGGTTTGGTATTTCCTAATTTTCTACAATGATTAGTTGTCGATATTTGTAGAAAGTGAGTAGCATTATAGGTGAAAAAGAAAATGTACATTCTTTGATATTTTTTAATGCCAAAACTCGAACATTTTGTGTCTGCACTTAATATCTATACTTTTCAAATAACTTTTTAAACACGAATTTAATGTTTTCTTTCCAAATTTAAATTATATTGAACTGCATAATACCATGTTTCATACAGATCAGGTTGGGGTATTGGTAACTCTTGTGGCAGTCGTAATTATAATGTAGACATCCTTATAAAAATGATACTAAGTTTTAATTTGTTTCATAATGCCTTTTGTACATTTTCTTACAATATGGTTCTGTCTACCCAAATTGTGCGATGAACACCTATAAGTTATGGATGCATTTTTCCAATTTTCTTTGTATTTTGTAAAACAATATTAGTTTGGTCGAGAAAAATAGGCACGTTCGTTGAGTACAGTTCATTTTTAAATAGCTGCCGGTTTCTTTTTGCCGCGCCAGTTTTTGGCAAATTTAACCCCTATTTTTACGCGCTTTAAAAAGATGAAAACTATCTTAAATTGTCATATTTACTAAAAGGTTTAAAAGTTAATATGTTTTGTTTTTCTATCTTTAATATTTTTTTGTAAAAATGCATTGAAAGTTTGCATTTGCCATGGCAATGTGTGTTTTGCCATGGCATTTCGGAATTTTGCCATGGCAAATTAGAATTGCCATGACAAGATTTTTCCTACTTTTGCCATGGAAAATTTGCCATGGCAATTATTTTTTTAAAACATCACAAAACATTCTAAAACTTATCCTATGACATGTTATTGGTGCTATTGTTATGTTTTTATTGCAATCTCTAATTTTTTTCATTTTGCCATGGCAAATTTTTGCCATAGAAATACCATGGCAATAACATAAAAGTTTGCCATGGCAAAATATTATCAATAAAAAAAAACATCTTTTCTTTGAATTTTTTTTTTTATAAATTTATACATGGCAAATGACATATTAAGGAATATAATATTTAAAATTTTAAAGTTTACGCAAGGAATATCTTTTCAACCACGGGTCCTATTAATTAGAATACATTGTATATGACATTTTAAAATGACAATAATTATGAGATCAAGGATCAAATATAATCATTTATGCTAAATAATAATAATAAAGCTTGAGTGGTAGTTATATAACAGAGAAAAATAAGAATCCCTAGAGAAAGCCCAACACTGCAATTTGAGCCTGTTCATGGACGGTACTGGTAGTCCAGTGGTAGGACGCGCGCTTAGGGGTCGAGAGTCCTGAGTTCGAATCCCACCAGGGGCACTGCTAATTTCCTTGAGCAAGAAAAATACCTGCGATCGCTTCACTTCACCCAGGTGTAAATGGGTACCTGCGAGGGTGGTTTAATTACGTTGCGCCAAGGTGTCGGCTGTACTAAGCGGAGTTAAAAGACTCCCTAAGGAGATTGATAGATAGATACCAGTAGCCCGATGACCAGGGGTAATAGCTGTAAAGTCGTTGAACGTGCGAAAGCATGAAACTTAGACTATAAAATGCAATTACTTTTATTTTACTGGTAAGTGCAAATTACCGTCAACGTCCCCTAGCACCGGCTTAAGCAGTATATAACATTTTAACATGAACTGGTAAAATTTAGAATTTTGAAACATCCGCATATGTGTTCATATGGTGGTTATCATGGAACCTTTAATGTGACACGTTAGTACCATTCCATGAAAAGCGGCATATTACAATATACTTATAATAACATAAATAACAGACTTTACTTGTTAACTATATATAACTTTTAAACACCATATTTATGTATAAATATGTGCAATTACATTTTTAGTTTCCGGTTTCTTCTAGTATTATGCAGTCTGCGTGATAAAGGACTGCTAAGGAAAGACCTTGCAATCCTCACAAGGAAATGATGGGAGATGCATTGGTACAAATGTTATGGAGGGCACCCTTATAATCTTGTTATTTGTAAAATATTCCGTTAACGCAACAAGATCACCCGCCCCTAACCAAATCGGCCCTTAACAACTGCTGGTCCCAAAAATGCGTAAAATCTTGGTATAATGAGTAATGTGTGTATTAATTTGCTATCCAAAGGAAAATATAGTCAATTTTTGTATAATGTTTTAGTATCATTTAAAAAGTGGTCTGTGGAATGTTTTAATTTTCAATTTTATTCTGATAGTACTATATTTACCAGGATTGGCAGGAGTGTAAGAATTAAGTGGCCCATCATTAAATCATACGGAATCAATCCTGCGCGAAATTATCATTCGTTTAGGATAGTAACCTCAATTTAAGAAGGAAATGTTCTAGTTGAAGCAAAAATAGAAAAGTTACCGCCCCTTAAAGAGTACTCATCATTTGCATTAAATCAAAACACATATTTCCCGTCGATAATTTGTATAAACTTTTACTGTAAAATATGATAAACAAGACAAACAAGGAAAGGAATTAATTGTCTTAATAGTATAACTTTATTTAGTTTATTCTTGCACTCAAGTTGAATTATACTCATTTATTTAGCCATCCTGGATACCCTGCTCCAAATTGAGATATACATTGTTGCAGAGTCTATATGAAAAAAAGTTATCACAACCTTTAGATGGCACAACTTTAATTTTTACACATAGATTACAAAAACAGATTCGACAAATATATTATAGACAGTTCTTAAAATCAAGTAATCACTCAAGTTTACTTTTGAAAAGTTTTATATTGGAAATTCTGATAAATCAATTTATATACAAAGGATGTCTTACCATTTCTGTCAGCATTACTATAATAAACCTAACTTGTAATGATTGACTTTTATTTAAAACATCTGAAGAAGGACACTCTTCAGAAGCATAACTTCAAAATGCAGGTACAAAGGCAGTTATCAGTTATAACGATATCTGACAGTTAGCGGTAACATGAACGCTTGTTTTACAAATAGTTGTTTGTAGGAATAACACTTTAAATATGAGATTTATAGTTTATTAGTTTATTTCAGTCTTTTTTATATGCTCACATATATACATAGGACATATTTAAATTGATATAAATGTACATATTACCATTCTACAATAGCATTATAAGAGACTATATACTGGTAGTATCATTATACGTATATAATCGATAGTTAGGTCCTACTGATAAAAATAACGCAACATTACAAGAATACTTTACATTATAAAAGTAAGATTTTGCCCACTGACCTTCCATTAAAAATAATAATACAATATCTTGACAATAAAGCACCGAGTGTTGTAAATTGTGGCACTAATGCGCAAATTAATAATTATCTTAAAGAAAATATATCACCCGTGGTCAGACCATGGATGAACTGATCAGTCGTGATATTCTATATGTTCATGTAGACAAAATAACATATGGAATATCATTCTCCTAGAAGAAAAAAACACGTTTTAAGGTTAACACTCTAATGTAAGTTATGATTTTTGTCCATTTCTCATAACACAAGTCTTTTGGTAAATCAGACGAGTTACGTGACATTTAGACATATACCAATTTGACTAAAGTTCAGATCTACTTATATCTTCCATGTAAGTCTGATGGCCACCGTATATGCTTCTCTTTCTTTATAATTCGGAGTTCCCGAGAAAGCTTTTTTAGCCATGCAATCAAACCGGCATTTAAAGAATTATCAAAATACAGTCTCCCGTTAGAGTTAAAAGATGATTTTTGTAACAAAAGATGTAAATTTTAAAAAATGAATTTGAAATAAAGATTTTAATGGGCAAAATTGTTTTGCCAGTTTACCTGTCCGCGATATGGACAAAGCCATGTTTGTTCTCGAAATTGTGAAAATAACCTTCTCAGTATTAATTTTCCAAAGGTTAATTTAGAAACCGCATCGCTTTCAAAATAATGAAAGCTCGCCAATGATTGGTTGTTTTATATACCACGAGAAGGTGGTAGACTACCTATGGGTGAATGTCAGGTCCTAATGCGTAGCGTTTTTTAGGAGTTGTTTTTAGATAGATTGAGACGTATACACTCAAGATCTGAGTCGAGGAATCGCATTTTTTAAAAACATTTCTGTCTGTTTTTAAGACTCTAACCTAGAACTATGTCCACTTACATCTCAATATTTTTTTCTAAAAGGTGAGCCCATGAGAAGCAGTTTATACAATACAAGTAAAATAGAATTGTGAACTTTTTTCACAGTTTTTTTTAAACTTAAAATTGAGACTGTTTGTGAGTGAATGAGCCGTGCGTCCAATCTTTGTTATTTTTCGTATTCGTAATTAATATGCGGGGAAAAATGTAATGTAAAACCGCAAAAGAGCAATAAGTTCTCGGCCCGGTATACTTCAAGCCACTACACTGACATTTACACACGATACGTCGATACCAATATCTTAATGAAAATTACGGACCGAGTTACAGCGGCTTTACACAGATTAAGTAAACACAATGTGATTAGTAGAGAGGTGTGTCATTTACACCAAGTAGAGAAATTGAAATCAGAGCCGTCATTAACTACCTTTGAAAGAAAGGGATGTCCCCCAGGGAAATCCATGAAGACTTCATGGATAAACTTAGGAAGGAGTCCCCTTCCTATAGCACTGTGAAAACATTGGCTGCTAAATTAAAGAGGGGCAGGGAGAGCGACAGAAGGCGAGACCTGTGAAGCATTGCTAGGGAAGTGGGCATAAACTTGGTTCAATTAAAGCAATTCTGACTGATGTCTATTGCATGCCAAACATTTCCGCTAGATGGGTCCCCAGACAGATGACTGACGACCAAAAACGGACTAGGCTTGACATTTCAAGATATATTTTGTCTTGCAACGAGGATTAACCTGATTTTATCTACAGGGTCGTATAGGATCGATCAATGTCTTCAATGTGTTGGGATAGTAAGAGGATAATCATTATTGTCTATCTTGAGCAAGGTCGGTACGTACTGTGCAGACAAATTGAGAAGTCTGCGTCAAGAAATTGCGCGTAAAAGGAGGGGCAAACTGACTCAAAACGTGCTGCTCCTGCCGGGCATGCGCCAGTTCAGCCATCCCAAGCTGCGATGGCTGCTGCAACTGACTGCGGCCTATAAATCCTTCCCCTTCCCCAATTTTCTCCGGACATGACCCACTCTGACTTTTATTGTTTCCGAAACTGATAACCAAGCTTCGTGGTAGACGTTTTGGAAGCAATGAAGGTGTCATGGAGGCGGTCAATGATTTCTTTGTAGACCAAAATAAAGAGTTATATTTTGAAGGGTTAAACAAGTTGGAGCACAGTTGGGCGAAGTGCATTGATATAGAGGGCGATTATATTGAAAAGTAAGACTATTAGTTGGGTTCTCTGACTACCGGAAGTACATCGGGCCAAATACTTTTTGATCTATCCTTGTAGCTTTTGACGTCAATGATTTTTCTCTTTTCCCTTTATTTTCTTTTTTACAAAACGCATAAATTTGTTAGTTATATATATAGTTGTACAAATATTAAAAGGTTAAGATATCTTTATCAAAATATGTTCTTTGGCTTTATTACAAAGTGCAAAAAACCCAAATAATTCAATTCAAACAGTTGTTAGACAAGCACTAAAATACGAATATGATAGATAAAGACACGAATCTTGAGGAATGACAGAGTGACAACTAATTGTTCCAATTGTTTTTGAAGATGTGATTATAGAATTTCTATACAAAGCAGTTGATTCTCGAATTAAGATTGTTGGAGTTATTCCTCACTTTAGTAATGTTCATATGTATGCTTGTACTGTCATGATTTTGACAGTTGTGTGACCTAAACAATTACTTTTATTAAGCGAAATTAGCCAAGGAGATCAAAAAAAGAAAGGACTCAATAACGCACTGATGAGCAAAGGAAAATCGTAAGCTTGTGGAAAGTGACTGTCGATTAGAAACACTTTGACAAATGCAAAACCTCCATTTTCAACATGTGTAGTCATTGCTCTTCGTATTTTAGAGACGGTCTCAGCTTTGCATATTTCAGGATTTTCATGATTGTCATTTCTTACATCGATATCAATTTTTGTTCGTATGAAAAAGAATTTTTTCTTGAGCCTTTTCACTTCATTTGCTAACCACAAATCATTTTCTGTGAATCTAGTGGCTGTAATGATAAGAAAAAGGTCAAACTTTTCAAACCCAACGTCTTTTAAATATGTACTTTTAGGAAATTTCTGTGTACCTACTCCAGGCAGATCCCACAAAACAATGTTATCGTTATAAGGATGTGTATATTTCATTGGCACTTCGGTCGTTTCATTAACACCAACTGCAGCCGCTTCTTCGCATTTTGCTTTTAGACCTCTTAAGCTGTTTACGAGTGACGACTTGCCTACCCCAGAATTACCCGTTATTGCAATGTTGAATTCTGGATGTGATGGCTTACTTGAAGATGTCCCCATTATGTTGGTGTATTGTTTCAACCTATAAAAAACAATTAACAACTGAATTAAGACATAAATATCAATAAATAGTCAACACTGTACATGTATGGATAATGAAGTTTAACCTTATATCAAGTAAATAAAACAAAATATTTAGTGTTTAGTCAATGTCATTTTACATAATAAAGCCCAAGTTTGTAAATTGGTATGGTTATACATGGTCATTTTTATCAATGCAAATATCTCCATTAAATATATCTGTGATCTCGAAGTGTGAACTTATAACGTGGTATTCAGTAGTGCTTTAGAATAAATCGTTCAACTTGTTAAATGTTCATGTTGGGATCATGAACAGATTTCACTTGAGTGATGCTACAGTGTCTGGTGAGCAATTTAAAAAGGTTATACTTTAATCACTTTCTTCTCTTCTGATACACAAAATATGAAAATAAGAATGTAGCCTTCGTAGTATTATAAGTGAGCAAACTCTAGTTTAACTCAAACACAATTGTTCATTAATATATACGACTCAACTGAGCGAAAATAATGATGTGATCACGGGATAAATAATGCTTCTAAATAATATACAATTAGTCATAAATACAAAATTTAGGATAAAACTGAAAGTTTTAACATAGTTGTTTTATCAGTTGTAATCTGACTTTCTATTATTATCAAATAAAATGATATTAAATGAAAAGGCGTTTATACGAATAGAGGCGTTATTAGAAAAAACCAAAAAAGAATTATGACTCCATTTAAATACTAAATAATTGCTAATCACATGGCTAAGTAACGCAAGAAAGGAAGAGCAATATTGATCTGAATTACTCAAGATACACCTGGGTAATATTTCAATTAACTAACGCCTAAGGCCACAGTCATGTTTTTAAAATCTTGGTAGGAGATTATATCTCCAATTTGAGCTATCTATAAGATATTGACCTAATGTAAATAGTATTTTACATTAAAAGAAGATTAGTTCTCCTTATTATAACTAAACCACTATTACCCTTTCAGCGTTATCATCATATAATCATGAAATACTTTCACTCTGATGACTCTAACCTGTAACACTATAAAGAGACACAATCACGTAATAAGGAGCTACTATCAGATTATAAGGAAAATACATCAGGTTATAATGACATTACCCATTACTAAGATGACGATAGTTTAGTTAAGCGTACGCGATTGTTTTGGCCACAGTATCTGCAATACGCTATAAAAAAGGTGAAAGTATCTTCAAAAAAGTAATAGTAAATCCCTTATTGAATGAAATTATGGCCATACAAGTGATACAAAATATAATTATTTATATAAATTAATTTAATTATATTACTGTTATTATATTATATACTGTGGCATTAGGAAATATATGTAGATAATTTGAAATATGACGCACATATATCGCAATTAATTCAGATCACTATTTTCCTTTCTCACGTTACAAGGCCATTTAATATGCTATTAAATTGGCGTTATTATGATTTATACGCATTATGAAATTTGATTCCAGAAAGCTCATTCTGGAATTATTCATGCTAGACTTTATTGTCACACATGTTGTTGATGATAATAAGTAACATACATTTGTAGTTTGAAGTGCATACCTTAAGAAATGAAAAAGTAATAGTAAAAATAATATTTTAAACATAGATCTTAAGTTCAAGGGGGAATCATTCTAAAAAGAAATTGTGCTTAAGTTAACAACCTTGTAACACTTCATTTGGGTAATGATAAGGAACATTTAATTGGAGTTCGAAGTAATAATAGTTAAATATTAATATTATAAAGAAAAATATATAAAAAGATAATTCTAAGAATGTGTGTTCTTGAGTCAAAAACAATAACACGTAAGATGCGGTTCATGATAAGGAACATGTATTTTGATATTAACCTTTTCCCTCATATAAGCGTATTTCGACGGCTTTCCCCCCCCCCCCCTCTTTTCTAGGCCTCAAACAGTGAAAAAATGCCCTATTTAGGCCCCAAACACTGGTTTTCGTTTGAGAAATGTTGTTAAAAAAGTGACCACTTTTTCGGCGCCGTCCCCCATCCAAATGTTGCATCAGGGGGTTGCCAGAAGGGGGATGTGGCTCTTCTGTTTGGGGGGTTTGAAGGGGGGCTGAGTCCCTCTCATCGCCAAGAAAATTTTGGACATGTGACAAACTAAAAATGGCCTCAGGTCGATCTTGAGTTAACTAGTAACCGACGCTGAAAAGCCTTTTACTCTATCTCAATTCATTGAGAAGTTGCAGAACTTTGAAATCAGTTTTGATGGAAAAAAACATTGCATAATAGTGATTTTTGGCAATTTTGAGAGGTCCCCCCGTTGACATGGTAACAGGAAATTTTCGATTGAGCATGCTGTTACAGAGGCTATGGTGTAGTCAACATTTGTGCCAAGTTTCATCAGTATTGAAGCATTTTTCATAGTTACATAGCAGTTTGAACTTGTTACAGGAGGCTTTTCAATGAAAACGGCCATTTTTGGCAATATGCTCATGGGGTAAAAGGTTAAAGGTGATTCATTAAGAAAAAAAGAAGTAAGAGTAAAAAAATAACATTTTAAAGCCAAACTCCAAGTTAGGGGAGAAAATTGGTTCCTAAGTTATAAAAAAGAGAAAAATAAGAATCCCTAAAGAAAGCCCAACACGGCAAAATTGAAAATGTTGCAGACTCAAGGAACATTAGACTCAAACTTCAATGAAAATATATGAATATATAATGAAATATAGATTGTTTAAGGACAAGCAGGAAATCAAATAAAAAGTAAAAAATCAAGACACAGTGACATATATAGAAAGTACATCACTCTGATCCGTCCATTCTATCAAAAAATAAAATGTCCAACTCATTTACATTTAGTAACGAACAGCTGTATTATTTAATCTCTCTACCCATCAGTTCAGTAAACATTACAGGACTCAACCACAAGGACGTTTATACTCGGTAAAGAAATAATAAAAGAGACAGAATCATACATTCATTTTGGTCTTTCATGTGACAAATGATTATCAACAAAGAGACCCCAAACCGAAGCATGTAATAAATTAAGAGGGACCATTTTATCAATAGCTAATAGTGACATTCACACTCCTAATCCGATACAATTCCGAACTATTTATTCCTCAATTGTGATACCAAAAGCCTTGTTTTGCTGCGAATAATAAACCAAATCGGTCTGTTTCAAGAAATAACCTTAAAAATTGGATATGACTGTTCTTTCTTATGGAGACAATAGGATATTTTTATCCATCTTTTGTTGTCAAATGCAGTGTAAGTGTAAATAATGTTATGATAATCCGCATAATGTGTTTTGTGAGGTGAATGAAAATAGTATGTTGTAGTGGAATAGAAGCATGTATAGCCTTACTTGCTTTACGACCTTTATATCAGTGTGGATGTATTATTCAGCTTGCTTTAGAAAATGACGATCAAATGTTGAAAAATTATTCAGTTTCAAAGTGCTTGTTTTAGGTGATGAAAAAACATAAACGTATTTTGATCTGATTAAAGTCAAACTATTTAAGCACTGAATGCGATAAAATTGCAACGTTAAGTTAAGTTCTACATTCATCGTCACAATTGATATCAATTAATATATTGTCATTTATATTTCCTTAATATTCTTGGCTATGGATGAGTGCTCGTCATATAGTTACCTTTAATTGTCTTTGTTAACTCGTAGGAATCTTGATATTTCGATTTTGAGTTAATGTTTCTGTATAGAAATTCATTTTAAATGCAATGAATATTGCAATGTTGGATAAATGAAAATGTTTCACCATTTTTCAATGTTATATAAAATTTTGCTCCAGCGAGTTACAGAGTAAAAACAGTAAGAACATTGTTTAAAAAATCAAGGTACAAAATAGTACTGCATTTCAATTATAAAATTGTATGGGATATGAAATAAACTTTAATTTTAGACACTAATATAATTGCAGCAAACTAACGGCAGTAAGGACAAAATTCATTTTGTAATATTTTGCTACTAATCTTTATTTTAAAATCAGAGATCCCTTTTTTTATAACAACCCATGATGCTATGTCAATAATAAATATCAACAAATAAGCAACAGGGAGGTTAAAATTGTGTATAAAAATCTGTGAGGAAAATAAGCTCAATCACGATAAAGGAATTATTTTGTTTATCTTTTAGGGTTTTTTTCTTGTTTTCATAGACATTTATATCATAATTTAATTGTTTGTTTTATTAACTCAATCCTTAAAAAAGTCATTACTGTAATTATAAGATGTACCATGTAAAGGCAATGAATATTTGAATAACAGTGAAATAAGGCAGACACAAATGGTTCCCTACTTTAAGTTGATAGAGTAGTCACTTCAAAATAAAATTTTACGTAGATATAAGCGCTATCATGTATTCTTTAATGAGATAGAAAATACTAAATAACATTACAGTAAAATCTCTACTGACTTGCTTCCCTTAACGTCTGATTACCGGTAGATGAAAATATATATCTTGAAACATCTGTTATCTTTAATTGTTAATAAAACGTCTCCGTCACCAATTTTAACTATATTTTTACTTCTTTACAAACAAATGATAGACAACCTAATTTCCGGAATGACCGCCCATATTTCAAATCCAGTGGTCTGCTTTCGACCTACTAAAAAGTTAGTGTCGCGGTCTGATCCAGGTTACAATAAAATAAGTGTTACATGAATAAAGAAACAATAACAAACAATCTTACAATCTTACATTCTAAATGTGCCAAATTGTTTTAAGCATCCAGGAATTGATGAAATGAATATGTCAAGACCTTATAATCAATGTACTATTTAAATATCCAATTATTAATTCAACATTTATATGCTTTTTATAGCAAATGAGCATTTTTAACATTTGACTACACTTTCTTGCAATATGTTTTCTTTATGTCTATATACAATTTTGATAATCATAAATAAGCTTACTTTTCAAGTGTTTTGTAACACTACAACATTTTTAAGGGAGAGCATATCGTCGCCACCATGTCCGTCCGTCCGGCTGGCCTTCTGTCCGTCCGT